CAGTTGAGACAAAAATATGAACATGAACACTAAAATTTCACCCATCTTCTACTCCCAAATTGTTAACAAATTAGATTTGCTAGTACACGTTCACATAGCACACGTTAGGAGACAACAGGTGAGATAAGGGCATTAAATAACGTGCTTATTTAATACATGATACCTAATTCAGCTCATCCGAGGCTGTGGTTTCCCTCCTTCGTCCAGCGTTTTAAGTCTAGGCTCAGTCTTTTCCCCGTGTTTTATCCTGGTCAGCCTTTTGAATGCTCATTCTTTAAATATTCTCAGCTGTGGTAGGATGCATTCTAGCATCTGACTTGCTGCTGTGTCTCGGAATCTCTCTCCTGTGCCGGCTCCGGTCTTCTGGCTCTTTTCCTCATACCCTTTGTAAGCCATCTGGAAAGATTCCCAGTTACTTTTTGTTACTGTTGTTGCATTCCAGAACAGGTACTGTCACAACTTACACATCAAAAGAAACTCATTTTCAAAAGTTTCACTCAATGTTAAGTATTTATTGTGGTAATTCACTAAAGGAGATTGCTCTCCTGCATGGGTTTAAGTCAAGAGAAAGTCTTTTTTAGCTGGCTGGCAACTACATTGGGTATTTGGGATCCCAGTATAGCTCTAAGGCTTTCTCAGGGTGAGCTTTTTCTGTTTTTTTTTTTTTCCCTTAATTTATTATTATTAATTACAATTTATTCACTTTGTATCCCCCCATAAGCTCCTCCCTCCTCCCCTCCTGATCCCACCCTCCCACTCCCTTCTTCAGGCATGCCCCTCCCCAAGTCCACTGATAAGGGAGGTCCTCCTCCCCTTCCCTCTGACCCTAGCTTATCAGGTCTCATCAGGACTGTCTCGATCCTCTTTCTCTGTGGGATAGTGAGGCCACCATGCCAGAGGGAGGTGATCAAAGAGCAGGCAACTGAGTTCATGACAGAGACTGTCCTGCTCCCATTACTAGGGAACCCACCTGGAGACTGAGTTACCTATGGGCTACATCTGACCAGGGGTTTTAGGTAGTCTCCATGTATAGTCTCCTTGGTTGACTCATCAGTCTCTGCCGGATGCCCTGAGCCCATATTTTTTGATTCTATTAATCTCTTTGTGGAACTCCTGCTCCTCCCCCCCCCACCCTCCGGTCTTTCTATCTCCCAGTTCTTCCAAAAGATTCCTTGCCCTCTGCCCAAGTTTGGCTGAGTCTCAGCACCTGATTGGATACCCTGCTGGGTAGAGTCTTTCAGAGGCCCTCTGTGGTAGGCTGTTGACCTATTCCCTGTCTTCTCCTGTTTCTGATATATAACCTGCTTGTTCTTCTGAATGAGGATTAAGCCTCTTCTCTAGTGTCCTCCTTGTTGTTTAGCTTCTTTAGGACTATAAATTTTAGAATGTTTAAGATCATCTTGAGTGAGATCATCTTGAGTGAGGTAACCCAGAAGCAGGAAGACACACATGGTATATATTCATTTACTAGTGGATATTAGCTATATAATATTTTGGTGAGCTTTTAAGTACAAACATCTTGTTCTGGTTGGTCATACTTCAGTTAACAAAAATAGTTAATTAGAAGCAGAACTATAGAAGTTAAAAGCAAGGACAGTACTTTGTGAGACTTTCCCAGAACTGAATGGACTTTGGTGGATTAGGCCTTTGTTTTAGTTTTCTCAGGCGGTGCTGTCTAAGTGCTGAGTTTTATAGCCTGAATGGTATTTCCATCATGGAGTCAGTTGTGATAAGGTCTGAGGACCTACTAAGGTATGGAGCCCTGTTATAGTATGTATCTCTTAACAGCATTTATATTAACATATAGAGATATTAAATTTAGAAACATATTTTTAAAGTTGATTATGATTGGTAACCTAGGACAAAAATCTTTAACTAATATTAGGTAAATCTGCTTCTTGTGTTTTTCTGCATTTTTTAAGCTTTTAGTGTTTCAATGTTTTGTAATTTGAACATTTAGTAATGCTAGGAAGACATAGAAATTATCAAATGATGCAAATATATACTCCATTGTTGGCAAATTAAATGCTACTTTATCAAGCTACAACTTAGCATGCTATAATCCTTAATTAAAGTTAATTAAATGTGTTATCTGATTGTACTTTGAAAAACTTTGACACACTGATCACATTTAATTGATTTAACCTCAGCTAAAACTTAAATTTAACATTAGTTATGGTTAATTACCATAAAAAGGATATGTTCTTGCTTTTAATTTACATAAATAGAATTTCTTGTGAATTTCATATAAATTAATTGCATTTCCCTTAAATATAGCAGCAATAGGTAACTTTTAACTAGACTTGGAAAACACTCTATTAATGTGTACAATATTTTAACTGGAATCTCTATTCAGAATGGGATATCAGAGTAAGAATTTAGGAAGAGAAACCCTTAGAGACACACATTACCGATAGTATACCAGAAAGAGGTACCTATTTCCAAATCAGCATCATTGTACCAAATAGTCACCTGTTATTATAGCAGCCTCATATGCCAGACCCTGCCACCTGTTACCACAGCAATGTCAGTGTGCCTGTCACCTGATATCACACCAAGAGCAGCGCCAGAGAGTGCCCCACCACAACTCAGCCAAAGGAAACTAAACACTTCCACGAGCTGTTTCAATTTAAGACTAAAGGGTAAAATCAACACGTCTTAATAAAGTGTAACTTAATTCTTTTGTTGTAATGGTAGCCATCTAGCATCTAACATTACACTGATAATTTGCTTAAGTATAAATATAAGAATAAGTGTATTACTGTTATTTCTTCATTTAAATCACTAATTATTTTATAACTATATATGACATAAATTTAGATTGTCTACCTCAACGTATTACATTTGTTAAGAGAAAATTTGAGGCTAATAAATTCACTGTATTTTTTTCTGAGTAGAGAGTAGTTAAGTTTTTCTTTTCTTTTTCTTTCTTTCTTTTTGTTTTTAATTAGGTACCAAAGATCTAGCAAAGTAATAACTTAGCCATTCTTCTTTGGTGACCCACCATGTTTATAAGCATGGTTGAGGACTTACCTATAGTGTGGTAAGTGAGTACTAAACAGCAGCCTCACTGCATCATCCTCTCCCATCATGAATGATGACTCTTCAAAGCTACTTTGTGCAGTCCCAGTTTGCTTACTTTTGCACTCTTTATCTACGGTAAGACTGAAGACCCTCTAGTTACCTCCTTCCTGTCTCTGAAATCAACCCTTGCCCCATTCCTCAATAGTCTACAAATTAACCCAAAGACCTTGGCTGGGGAATGCAAATCTAGCCCTCAGCTCCATGGAGGATTTCTCATCATCCATGTCCCTTGACATGTAGACTAGGCCATACTAAATGATCTGGCATAAACTTTCTGGAATTCCACAAAGCCTACAAAAGTAAAAACTTTTCTTGGTTTCTGGCAATTGAGGAACTGGTTATTTCCAGACCTCTAACAAGATATATTTGGCTATCTATTATAATGCATGCCCTCTTCAAATTAGAAAGCAGGGCTCTCTCTCTCTCATCATCATCATCATACTGACGCTTGCATGCTGTTATGTCACTGCTATCAGTGATTCATGCCCTCCCAAACACGAGAGTGTCTCTCACCACATCATGATCCTTACCAACAATCTTTCTGCAGAGTAATTTCATATCAGCTCTTTTACTGGCCTTGACTAGCACTTTTTATACAGCATACAGTCTTGCATCTCAAGAGATCCCTTGCAGGCGGAGATCCCTTGCAGAGTGGAGTAGTGGCTGGAATCCTGCTTCCCTCCTTTCTTCTGCCAATAGCTAAGCTGTCATTCTTCTGCACTGTTCTGTTCAGTTAGCTGCCATGCATACAGAGCCAAGGTAGTATCTAGTCCAAGATGGTGCTGGATCGATCACGTTATGTGCAGAGGAAGAAACTCCATTCAAGTACGTAATGATTCATGAGCTGTATGTCACTAAAAATCAACAACGGCTGAAGGTTCTGCTGCCATGTGATCAGGAAGGTTTTATCGACCCATTGGGAGCAAACCAGAGGAATTATCTTATTGGCAATCAATAAGCAACCATGAAATTTGTGCATAGTGTGGTGAGCTGTTATTTAGTTTAGAAATGGTGTGATGAGTTGGTGGCCTTTCTGATTGATGGGCTGTTTCTACTCATCTGTGAGTCAGCTACTTGTTAGAACTATACATCTCAAAGTTTTGTTTAGTCTATGTATGTCCCAGGTTAGGTTGCTCTTTGTCACTTTTCCATTGATATTGGTATGTTTTGTGTAATTTTCATTCAGCTAATTTAAATTTGACTTGGAACCAATGTATGAAGATGAAATTAAAGCGATATGTGGATTTAATTTATAAAGTCAACCTGATATTTAAACTTTTCTCATCTAAATGTATGTCTCACGAATCTTCTCTTTGAATGGTCAATAACAATAACTAGCAAATAGAGTTCCACACATGTAAAATTCTCTAATATTATTCAAGGTACACTTTGAGCTCTGATTACAGATTTATTTTTGTAATCATCTTGATCATGATAGTATCAGGTAGATTCAATCAGACTCCACAGAATAACTCCAAACTCACAGTCAAATAGACAGACCTGGATAACTTCAGTGCCTCACAAAACAACACTAACAGACATGAAAACAAGAACGGGATTTGTGAGGAGGCAGGGTAGTAAAAAGAGCTAAGGTAAGAATGGTGAAAGTGATCAATATACATTGTATAACATCTTCAAAAGTGTCTAATACTGTAACTAATTAATGTAATTAAAAGTCCCCAAATCTCACTGTACTCTGAGAAGTGAGAACAGAACTGGAAGGGAAGACTTAGAGCAGTTTCTGGTGGCGTTTGAAATGTATCTTCTGTGGCTCTTGTGTTGCAAGTTCCTCCATTGTGTAGCAGGGCTCTGAATTTTTGTGATAGCTCTTGAACATATTTTTCATCTGATATTCCTAAATGCACTAGTGTTTTTCAACAAGACAGCCAATGGTTTACTTTTTATTTTATCTCCAGAACTTCTGATTCAGGACGGACCTTTTGGATCTTGTGAGAATAAGTACTGTGGCTTGGGGAGGCACTGTGTTATCAGCAGAGAGACAAGACATGCAGAGTGTGCCTGCATGGACCTTTGCAAACAGCACTACAAGCCTGTGTGTGGATCGGATGGGGAATTCTATGAAAACCATTGCGAAGCGCACAGAGCTGCCTGCTTGAAAAAGCAAAAGATCACCATTGTGCACAATGAAGACTGCTTCTTTAAAGGTAGGAACAGGATGAGGCGAACAGTGCCAGAGTCCTCTATCTCTCCTATTCCCTATTAGTGGCTTTAAGCTTTAAAGACATTATGCTTTTATCTCTGTAAGCTCATAAAAAGAGAAAAAGGAAAAAATAAGCTTAACAAAAACCAAGAAGCAGCAGTGTATAGAAATTTGCATGAAGAGAATTCTGATATTCATTTATGAAAATAAGGCTGGCCAAAGTCTGACTCACAATTTAATATAGAATTCCGCATTGCACCATATGGCTTCCCAATCATGGAGTTATTATAAGGACTGAGTTATTAGCCAGTTTAGTCTGCAGGGCAAATCTCACCAGTGCAAAGCACCTAGAATGCTGCTGGGGGCACAGGGATTGCCAAGCTGGACTGTGGTAGCTCCTCATTTCTTCATGATCTACAGAATAATTTCAATTTGTAGCACACAACTCAAATTATATGAGACCTATAATTGCCCACTTCAATAACAATAAAGTCATAAGAAACTCAATTAGCAAATCTAAGGCAATGATGGCTTAACATTTTAAAGTGTTATTTTACTCATACAATTTCAATGATGGTTTTGTAAGTAGTATGTCTGAATTAGTAATTAGATATGCTATTTTAGTGTGTTCTATAAATAAATCACCACATGACTTTATCATCACTTATTTATTCCTTGATTTGTTATTCTGTTGTTTAAGTTGGAGGAAATATTTTCTTTTCAGTGTTATGACTCTTACTTAAATTCTAAAGTCAAGCATAAAACATCCACATTTCCAAAAGGTCAATGATCAAGGTGATTCTTGAAAACTGGTGAATTCCTGCATCTCAGCTAATCAGAATGCCCCTTCACTGTTCACACTGTTGACATTACAGGGCCTCCATACTGGAATTTGAGCTAAACAGGTCACTGTGTCTTCCAGAAGCAACATGCTGTCAAGGTCCTCCTTTACTAAATGGGAAAAGCTGCGGAATTAACTGGGGATTAATCAATTCAGTCAGTGTTATTAATACTTAGTTGTTTAGGTTAGGTCTTGAAAGGAAAAAACATTTTTCTATCATTTTAATCTAAGGTGACAGAATGAAAGTTCAATTGCCACAGTATCATAAAAGTAAGTTATGTATAATATATAACTAAATAAGTATATTACTTCCTTTCTTGTTTCTTTTCAATAGTGTGTGTGTGTGTGTGTGTGTGTGCGCGCGCGCTGACATATTTACATGTACCCATGTTTACAGTGCCCAAGACAGCCATGGCTTTCAGATCCACTTAAGCTGGGGTGACTTATCCAGTTTGGGTGCTGGGAACCAAACGCAGGACCTTTGGAAGAGTAGAGTCTACTCTTAAGTACACAATACTGCTTCAAACTGAGATTCTGTTCATCTCACATGTACATTTGAACACAGAAACATATGTGGTATTCAGTATCATGGTAGAAGATAACGCGGTGTGTTCAGTGCTCTGCCTGATAACTGCACCCCCGTTTATAATGCCACCAAATATTTAAAACAACACAAAATGTGTGAACAATAGCCCGGGCCTTTTCATAATTTATCATAAAATGGTTGTGTGAAAAACTTCAGTTCCTTATATAGGATTAATCAGATCTATTTTTTTGATTTTTTATTAATTACGCTTTATTCACTTTGTATCCCCCCTGTACCTCCCTCCTGATTCCCTTCCCAATCCTTCCTTTCCTCTCCCTTCTCCACACATGCCCCTCCCCAAGTCCACTTATAGGGGAGGTCCTCCTCTCCTTCCTTCTGATCCTAGTCTATCAGGTCTCATCAGGACTGGCTGCATTGTCTTCCTCTGTGGCCTGGCAAGGCTGCTCCCCCCTCAGGGGGAGGTGATCAAAGAGCAGGCCAATCAGTTCATGTCAGAGATAGTCTCTGTTCAACCTTTGGGCAGAGTGCAGGGAATCTTATGAAAGAAGTGGGAAATAGTAAAATCTGGAGAGGACAGTAGTGCCACAAGGAGAGCAACAGAACCAAAAAATCTGAGCACAGGGGTCTTTCCTGAAACTGATACTCCAACCAAGGACCATGCATAGAAATGGCCTGGAACCTCTGCACAGATGTAGCCCACGGCAGTTCAGTGTCCAAGTGAGTTCAATCAGATCTATTTATCCTTCAAAATACATTCTCGTCATAGAGTATTGAAATTTCATTAATTTTACGTAGATTAATGACTGAGTTAACGTATTTCCAATGCCCAGCAGTTGAGGATTTCTGTTTGTTTTAGTATTTTGACTAAGGAACAGTTAGTTCTTAAAATGCCTTCTTTTAGCAGATAATGGGAAAATAAACAACAACAAGAACAGAACCCTACTTGTGCTGTTAGGAGTGCACATGTGTTCAGTTTGGGCTGAAATAAGACTCCAGTGTCAGGAGCAGCACTCCTCGCAGAGATATTCTGCAGTAGATGCTCTGATTGTGAGTTAATTTTTTCTGGAACTTTAACCAGATACCCTGCTTCTTACAGTGTCACATTAGAAGCAACAAAAAACATATTAAATTCTCAAACTGAAAAATCTTGTAATTGATTAGATGCTGCAAATGCAAAATCAAACCAAGTCAAAAGAAATCAAATGTACAGCACATTTTGTCTTAGGATTAAATAATGATTACTGTGAAAATCTTAGATAAGTAATTAATAAAGATCTATTGGCCAATCCATATTTTTTTAAGTAAACATTTTTATGGTCCTCTCAGACTCCTTTATCTTTCTGAAGTTTAACAGGACAGAGCCACACCCGTTTTTCAGTACCCCTATACAAGTAGAGATTTAGTGCTTTATGTACTATGCATTTTATGGCACACAGACTAAAATGTTTTTTGATCATTGCTTTAAAATATTATTATTATAAATCCACTTTTTAAGTTGTATTAGTTATTTATGTTTGTATTAATCTGAATGTTCAAGCTAGTAAGAGGATTGTCATGTGACATAAAGTTGAATAGGGCAAAGCACAAACAGACAAGGGTGAAAAAATTAGTGAATCTGAATCATGTGTGGGGATGGGATGAGATTAAGCATCTTAATTATAATTTAATACCATCATTGGAGTAACACTGCCCTTAAAAGAAGCTAAGTAAAGGGCACATAGGATCAACATATTAATTTCTACAAATATATGTGAATCAACAATTATTACAATAAATTAAAAAGTTCTGAAAAATGCTAGAAAATAGCCAATATTTACAGAAGGTAGATTTAGTTTGTATAACTTCATATATTGATTGATTGCTGTAAGTTGTGCTTAGAGTGCAGGTAAAAGATACCTGCCTCTTATTAAATATCTTATATAGTTTTTCTGTTTCTCATTTATTATTTATTATGAAGTATTGAAATGTCTCTGTACCATCCAGCATTTCCTAAAAATGAAACGTATAACTGATTTAACCATTACTCTGTGGTAATGCTCGACATTACTGAAAATGCTCCGTTTCCTAGCTGTTTAGTTTGTGCTAAGAGACTGTCCCCTGAGCGTCATTTCTCCTGTGAGGAGCATCTAACCTGCAACCTGCAGCTCTTTGCACCACACCACAAGTGACATTTCCTGACACTTGGCCAGTTGTTCACCGGAAGTGGAGCTTGCTTACTCAGAATGCGGAAGTGCCAACAAGAAGAGGGAATTAAAACTACTTACGTGAAAGTCAATTGAACAGAAACCTTTTTTTGCCACTTAGAGTGCTGGGGATTAAACTGCCATAAAGGCAAACGTTCTGTGCCCTGAGATGTAAATCACGAACAGTAACAAGTTGTCAACCTGGCGGTGGTCAGTTATCCACGCGCTATCTGGATGGAATCTCACATTGTTTAATTTTTCTATGTGTAATCGGAGCAGGCATTTTCATACCATTTTAATGTGCTTTTGACATGAAATTTACATCAAAGAATTATAGAAATGACAGATGAGAATATATAAAAGTAGTATTTTCAAACACATCAGTGAATATCAAGAGCTACTTTGCATATATATTTAGGCTGCTTTTCTTTTGAGAAGAACACCATCTAAAATCCTCTGTTTTATTTTATGTCTAAAAATTCTTTTAGACCATCCTATGAGAAAGTAAACTTGAAGGACTAACATGCAGATTTCTGTTTGTTTTGGCTAGAGTTAGTCATCTGAAGAGAGTTTGATGTTGATGTTGAAATTAATAACATGGGCAATGATAAAGTTGGCACAGCTCATTAAAGTGGTCAACCAGAAGTGGCTGTTTGTCTGAGTTCAAGCATATCTCATAAAAAATAATTGGATTAATTTCATAAGTTTTAGATAATTCATGTTAAAATTTTCAAAATTTGCTCATATAAAATAGTTACATAACTTCTTTTTTTTTTTTGAGACAGGGTTTCTCTGTGTCACCTTGGCTGTCCTAGACTGGCTTTGTAGACCAACTGGCCTCAAACTCACAGAGATCTGCCTTCCTCTGCCTCCCTGAGTGCTGAGATTACAGGAGCAGACCTCTCTCCTAACTTCATTTTGAAATTAGCCTAATTCAATATTTCCTTAATGATTTTAAAGGGCTGTGCAATGTGCCTGATAGAATATAAATATTCTATAAGTTTTCCTGTCATTTATAAATAAATATTACATTCATGATATATAGATGTTTTGTATAATATGAAAATGAGATAAAAATTCAAATAATATTTAGGCTAAATAGTCATTTACTAGGAATTTCTATGAGAGCTACTCAACAAATGTATTATGTACAATACAATGCCTGGAAGATAAATTATTGGGAGAATGTTTGCTTGTCCTGCCGGGGAACCAAGTTTCAACACCCAGATCAAACAGGCAGACAGAAAGAGAAACAAGGAAATAATATAGGAATAGTGTGTGTGTGTGTATGTGTGAAAAGTCATCAATAAATAAATAAATAGATAAATAGGAAAGGAAAAGGAAACGAAAAGGAAGAAAAAAGAAAAAGGAGCAAGCGAGCTTCCTGGGCAGCAGAGGAGGACAGGGAACACAGCAGCGATAGTCAATCATTG